TTTTTTTTTTTTTGGAATACAGTTTTGATAAAAGCAAATAAAGAGAGTGGTTATGATGGTTGCTCGATTTGGCCTTCTCCCTGGTTGTGCTTCTGTGCTCTTTTCTCCTGTAAAAAAACAAAACAAAAAAAAACCCACACACACACACAAAAGTAGATGTGATATTGAACCCCGATATCATATATAGCAGTGCATATCAAACATTTTACACCAAGTACCACCAAAGAGTAAAAATTATAAAATATAAACATAATACTGCAAGTCATCGTAACAATATGCTCAACTGTACTCAAACAGTGATTCCTTGGCATACCACTAGAGGGCGCTTCGTGGCGCACGTAGTTTATGCGGTTCCACTTGCCTGTTCATCTTGATGCTCCAAAGTATATCCCTGAATTTCTCCGTGACAGTTGGGGGTGTTCAGGGTCATTCTGTTGAGCTCAGGCTCCTTTAAATCAAGAGACTCAGGTTAGAAGACCCGCAACACAAGAAGTTAGACCCCCAAAAGCGTGCGATGTGTGCGTACCAGGTTTTCACTGCTCAACTCCTCTTTGGTGCTTTGTATTGCCGCCGTCTTTTCCGCGTCATCTTGCTCAGGTGGCGGCAACTATAAATGTAACATTTTTAAGAGTCCTTTCAATGCAAAAGCAGAACTTTTTCATAGAATGCTTGCGTTTATAATCATGTAAACCTTCAGCGTGCCATTCAGAGCGTCATATGTGATGTTCAGCTCCTCATCCTCCACTATTTCTGCCACTCTCTTAGGATGAAAGACACATTAACGGTTTCAAAAAAAAAAAATAGCTGTACAATTCACTTTATCTGATAAGTACCAATAAATGAGCTGTGTCAATAATTGCGACTGGACCACACACATGGATTTGCCATCGTGAATGTTAGGTTTAACATTTTCCAAACAGATGAGGACAAACAATCGATAGAAACTTTTGACAATGGGGCATTTGCTACATAAATGGAAGAAAAATGACAATTACCCCCCCAAAAAAACAAAAATAAAACAGGAGTAAATGTATTCTTAAATTAAGACTCCTGACGTTATTTAACGGTCAAATTTTGGCCTAAAGCTCCGATGGGATTGTCCAGGTGTACCCAATACTGTATTGTGACCAAATCAAGTGGCTTATATATAGGAAACCTGATCAACGGGAAGCTCTGTCGCTGTATTCTCGTCCTCCTGCACCTCCTTGGCTCCTCTGACCTCCTCCCTCCTCCTCCTGCGCGCTCCCGGCTTGAAGACGCCGCGATAGACTTAAGCAAAACACGGACGATACATTCGATTCATCTGAGAAAGGACAGTGAATATGTGTGAGGGTGGGTTCCTGACTGGGTCCGTTGCTGTGGGGCGGTCTCGGCATTCGTCTGGCTTTATGAACCCTGACGGGCTTGGCGAAGAGTCCAGAGGTGTCGTTCGCTCTCGGGTCAGTTGTTGGGTCTGTCAGGTGCCGTTCCTGCTGCGGGGGAGCAGCTTCATAACCCGTTGATTTCACCCTCCGCTCGTCTGACTGATAGAAACAGTGTGTTGGGCTTTGACAAAAATGTCTCGTCTCACATTTCACGAAAGGATCTTAATGATTCCCTTCGAGATTTGGGGAGAAATATTCTGTG